CGAAGAAGATAAAACATGCAATGAATACCAATACATTTGAATAATTAATCGAATGAGTTATCATTTGCTAAAAATAAAAACAATATTATATTTTATCATTCTATCGCGTTAATATAGTACTATACCATTGAAATGATATAAGAACTTGTTATGAGTGAACCGGAAGAAGCGGCGACTTGAAGTAGTACAATAAGACGAACTATGGAACAGAACTGTTTCATATACCTACAAAAAGAAACACATTATGGTTTGATTATTTTAGTGACCGAGAAGACGAATATTGTGCTTATACTTTGAAAACTACCCATTTATTAGTTATACTAATTAGGTATAACATTGGTCTACATTTTTAAAATTAAAATAAATATTATAATAAAATTTGTTTAATATTTGTTATCAAGCATAACCATAAGCATCGTATAAGCATATTTAGACAAAAACTAAAACAAAGCGAACAACCTAACAATTTCAATAAAATGATTCGAATAAATTACAGAGTTAAAATTACACGTCGAAAAATGTTCATCACTGCATTCAAGTAATGTTACAGCCTTAGAACTTGGGAACATTTTTTTATTCATACTATCACCAAAGATTTAATTGCATTATAATTATTTTATTTTTATTTTTAAGGTGCCACGCACAACATCTAAAGTCTAATTTGAATTCTGATCAAAACACACTACAAACATCTACACAACAAAAAAATACTGAATTTTGTTTCAAATTTGTTATTGCAAAAGTGAAAAGAATTGTTTTAATGTAAGTTATTGTAAGCTTACAAATTAACTTTTTGAAAATCCGATATGATTATTTTCATGTTTTCGTACATTTCGCTTTGTCCAACTGAACGCAAAAAAACAAAAAAAAATCATAAATTGAAATTATTAATATATTTTTTTAAATTGGTCATACAGTTTAATATGTTTATGCAAACTTCACTAGCTAATTTGTCAGTGTTTTATGGAAATGTCACTTACTCTGTTCATCAGCTTTGTGTCCAAACGTCATCAGTCTAGACGTTATGGTCTCGTATTGGTTGGCTATTGTCCAACACAATGACAAGTAGAACACATCAAATGTAGCGTAGAACAATGTAAGCAATACGCCAAAACATACTTCGTTAAGGTAAATGAAGTAATAATACTTGCTGTAGGATTGTTCGCAAATTGGATAATACATGTTTATAACATTTAACCGTGTAAAGCCGTCCGAAGTCGTAACGCCTGACGACATTGCGTACAAATTATAAATGATGGGCGACACTATCCATACGCATACGGTTATACTTAAGAAATAAACGTAGTACCGAATGAATTTGTTGGTTAGATTTTTGCTTTGGGAAATCGCTTTGGTTTCCGATAATCGACAGTGGTCGCTAGTTAAAAAATCCACACACACTATGTCCAAGATTTTCGAAATTTGTTCGGCCTCAACAATCATGGTGGTGATTTTCGCCATAGCGATTAGATAGTTAAAGTAAATCAGTAATATTTGACACAGCCGGTCGTTTTTGATATTATTATGCTGGAAAAGTATATTATACGCGAGACCGAATGCACTGTACACGAATATTAGAACCGTGTACGAAACTACAATAACATTAACGTATGACTTGTTTTTAATTAGTGACATAATCAAACCAAACAGTTTAAAGAATCCGTTGTCGAATGCCACTTTTCTACCGTTCAATACGTCGTCCATGTTTGTTTTATGTTTTGATCACCTGAAATTAGGTTTCAATTAATAATTAAACAATATAATATAATAATTGTACCCATTCCTTGGAATAAACAACCTACATTTTTTAAAGTACCGACTAATTATTATATTTGTTAATCTTCATTGTAATTCTGTTATGTATTTTTTATAACAGTATACGTGAATAATAACAAAGTTTAAATATGATATATAATACTATAACTGTGTTATTCTGTTTATCGTACTCACTGACCTGGTATATGTATTTATATTGTATTTCAACTCAAAAATATTGATAATCTTCAATTTTGTAGCTGATGGCTATTTTTGTTGGCTTTATTAGTACACTCTTTAGAGACCTTCATCAGAGAACGACTGATACGTTAAATGAACACAGTTAACCTATCTTTTCGGCCTATAAAAAATGTAAGTAACACTAGTGGTTATAAATATAGTAAAGAAATTAAAGAGTTATAAAATTAAATAAAACGATTTTGTGATCAAGGGTTTAATTAAATATGCATTTTATTTCTTTACCATCCTTCGGGGTTATTATTTAAAAAAAAAAAATACAGGAGATTTGTATCTATTATGCATGTATATACTGTAAATTACTATTAATTAACACAATTAGTGGAAAAATTCGCAGAAAAAAAAAACTATATTAATTATAGCCATCCATATTAAACTATGTTACTGTTATAGATATCGACAACTGCTGCTTATTTATTCATAACTCTTCGTCGGACAATCATTAATTTTAAATCACGTGATATCAGAGCGTTCTCGAATTAAAACGTTTACACATTAATATTTAGAAATACAAATTACAAATGTAATATTTTATAATATTTGTTTGACGGTTTGAAAAATAGTTCATTAACAATTTTTAAATTATTTATATTTAAGAAACATTTGTGTTATTAATTTTTTATTTAATTTCAGAGAAAAATGTAAAAATCTATTGACAATATTAAAAATAAAATTAAGATAAGTACTGTAACGAATTCTACAATGTACGACTAAATCATAATATTATATATTGTACAACAATTCTGAATTCAATTTAAGTGTTTACCTATAAGTGATCAAATTAAACGTCTACTCCGCACCGAAGACAATAGAAATATTATTTTAACAAAAGATCATTTATTAAAAATTGTAAATTATACTTGTGATGTATTAGAGAAAAAAAAATCAAGTTTATTACAAGTTTATAATATCACAAAACATTGCGGTTGTATTGTAAAAAGTAGTTTTAAAACATTTTTATCACAAACATAACTTTAGAAATGGTTATTGGATTCTTATAATATGCGATAATTACGACACATTGGATGAAGGAAACCATAATCTATTTTGTCTTCTTTTCATCTGGTTATGTTTGAGAAAATCATCTTAACCGGTCGAAATATTCTACCTTTGCCTATTTTGTTTAATAAAATAGATTACTCTTTTAGTTTCTGTTATTGTATTTTTTAAATGTTTTGATTGTTATTTAAGTAAAAAATATCACATTTGTTATGAAATAAATGCCATTTTTTTTGCTATTTATCATACAAATAACATTCACAAAATGCAACGTGTAAAAACAATAGAGATCGTCGTTTTTCTTATTTTTGTGTTAAGCGTCTTTCTATACTATTGTGAGCTGTCATTACTGATCACCTTGTAGTTTCCGTAGTCCTGTACTGGCGACTAATCTACATTTTAGAACACTCTGGAGACTGTAGATTTTATTTGTTTACAACCTATATATGTGTATATATTATACACGTTGGTTGAACGATATTGGCTAGAGAGGGTTCAGAGGTATTAACAAGCGTACGTACGGATCTAGGTAAATAATAGTAATATACAATATTATTAATTTAAGCTTGCCGTTTCCGTTCCATTGCATTAGGTTGCATCTGCACTGTTGAACAGATGGAATAGAATGTTGTTGTAACAAATGAAGTTTTTGTAACACGGCGATCTAGTTAGGCAATATCGATACGTGCACGTATGCACGTATATACTATCCATTTTCAGCTACATCCGGTTTGCAGTTATACGTTCGGCGAGTACCCTGACAACTGATTTTATAATAATTGTGTTTACCGTTATACGTTCTTGTGTACGAATTCGTCGTATATGTAAAAATAAAAGACGAGAAATCGCTAAAAACCCCTTGAAAATTCAACTTTCCTTTGTCATAATAGTTGTTACACACCCGGTTTTCCCCACCCTTTTACTAAAATATACGGTTCGTCCCCCAATTCTTCGGGGTTTTTATGATGTGTATTTTTTTCTTCCGTCCATACAACAAACTTACTTAATTGACTCGTGGTCCAGCCGTGTGCTTTCTCACATCGGTCGATTACCAGATTTTGACATTCTGGCCACCAAATTGCTATAGAACGCTCTTATAATTGACTGCGCGGTAATCTCGGCTTTGGGTTTACACTATAACCTTCTTCTGGCCGGTAGCGATAAGGACGGCCAACGACTCTGGCAGCTAACGCGAAACGGACGCGGTCACCGGCCGGTCGACCCTTGAAGTCATCCCCCTACTCACCCCCAAAGGTAAACCGGACCTGCTTTGGCCAATGTCCACGACCGCCTTGGAAGAGCCTGATCTCGGACGGGTGTACGTGGGTTGTGGGGAGGGCGGGAAAGGGGGGGGGGTGAAGTGGAGAAGGCGATGAGGGAGTGGAGAGTGGTTGATGTAAGCCTTAAACCTACGGTGATAATATCCGGTGATGAATACCGGTGTGCGCGCGGCCGGAAAGTTGATAATTAACGGCCAGCCCGCATTGGACGAGGCGGCGACGTCGGGTGAGGCACGCGCGCGCCCTACGACAGTGGCCAACGCCGGTGATGGTGGCGCGGCGTCTGTACGCGTTCGGCGGGAATCAGTCGGCGGTACGCGCGCACGGTAACGAGTTCGGTGAACACTGCTCGGCTTTGGTCGCCCGTCCCATTAACGCGTGTGTCACGAGTCGCGTGGTATCATCGTTATCGGTGTGCTTCGACCGTGTACTCGCGATATCCGCTTGGAGTTCGGATCTGCAGTACTTTAATACCGGTTGGCGTCCGGCGGGCGCGATGACGTCGCACGCAGGCGGCGTGCCCGTTGGACCGGACGCGGCCGGCGCGCCGTCAACACCCGCGGTCACTTCGACGCCGGCGATTACGGTTCCAGGCACGGCGTTGCACACGTGACGCGGTCGAAGCGTCGACGAGTGGTGCGTTACGGCCACGACGGTGGCGGCGGCGACTTTGCCGGTGCTGTTGGTGGACAACGCGTGACCGCGGCCGCCGTGTCTTCGGTGTGATGCTACTACCCAACGACACCGGCGTGTACGACGGCGGCGCGGGTGACAATTACACCGGTGACTATTTTAACTGCACCGGTGTTGACAATTATTACAACAATTGTACCTCGCCGCCGTTGGAAGACGAGATCGTGAAAAACTATTGGGCTCTGGCGTTGGTCGTGTTCCCCATACTCACCTTGTTCGGCAACGTACTGGTTATAATCAGCGTCTGCCGCGAACGGGCCCTGCAATCCGTCACCAACTACTTTATCGTCAGCCTGGCCTTAGCTGACCTCTTGGTAGCCCTAGTGGTCATGCCGTTTGCCGTCTACGTGCTGGTGAGTGAAAAAGCTGCATTTTACACAACCGGCATTTCGTTAAAATCAACACATTCCTGTGTTTGAACTTTTAAAAAAGTCTATTCCAGACATCTTTGAAAATTAATTGGACAAAGCTATTGAATGATATCGTATCCATTTTCCAAAACAACCCCTCTTATCACAATTAAATATGTCATAATATACACGGTGTAAATTTACCAGATGTTGTATAGATATATAGATATATATATATAGACATATCACATGGGTATAGGGGCATTATGCTTTATCTCATCCCCGATATACTGGTGATAATCATAAATGATCTAAAATATTGCGGCTATGTTTCGTTCCGCAAGATGTCGGTTACCAGGTTTTTTTTTGGTTGTTATCAAATTTATTTCTAGTTGAATTTAAACAATTTCATAATTTACGAGGTTATAAAGAAAATAGCCCTAAATTTATTTCGAAAACGTACGGTAAAAATCCGTTTTCATTATGATATCTACCAGTATGTATTATTACACTACATACTGTTGTCGACTAATCGGTACATGCCAAAAGCAACAGCTGTGAATGTAACGAAAAAAAAAAAAAATTAAAACAACCCCAACAGCTCTCCGCTCAGCATGCACCACGTCCTTTTGGAGATTTTGACCCTTGCGTGTCCATACATACATAACTCGAGCAGAGCACACAGGTGAAAACAATAATACCATAGCGGTAATAACATACCCATCGATTTCAATGTGTACACGAAAATGTTTTTTTTTGTTTTTGTTGGTTTGTGGTAATTCCCATTTCGGATGGAATAATGATTATGAAAATGTTTTTAAAAAAATATGTAAAAAACAAACATGCCTCTAGCAAATTTTTACACTCCTCTACAAAAATGAACGCTAAAACTGACATGTTCACGTGCGACCGTAAACTCTGCTGATCTATATTGTAGCTTAAATCACTTATTATATTGAAGTCAACTTGAACATAACCCGTTCATAGTTTAGTTAGCAGTTTGCACTAAATAACAGCTAAGCTGTTCCCAAAAAATGATTTATATGAAATACCGCCGTTCAGTAATCGCATTTGTATTTTTGTTTTGTGGCCATACATAGGAAACATTTCAATGTCTTTTCATGAATACATATTTTATTTATCTAACCACTAATAGATTAACCAAGAAACTGAAGCGTTGTTGTTGTTTTTTTTTTTTGTACATTTTGCAGCTGTATTCAAGTATACGAAAAATCAACAGATTTCTCTTTCGCCTCACTTTTATTACACGTCAGAATTATTATAGGTTAGCACGTGAAAAATAAATAAAAGCTAATTCTTCTGTGTGACGATTTGAGGCGTTTCTAATATTATGTAATTGAGTAAGTAAAAGTTATCTTAAAAGAAAATCCGGGGTTTTTTTACCGAGAAAATAGTTTTCGGTTAGCGACAGACTCATAAGAAGCAAATATACACTCCACACATATACGTGTGTGTAATGGGAATGGAGAATTTCGACTTTTATTACTCATAAAAAAACCCGACAGGTAGTAATCGTTGCTCCTGTTGATGGTGCAAATCCCAAATGTCACGTTAAAGTCATTCGACGATTGTTTTCAGCAGTGCCAACGAGTCCAGGAAGGAGTTAATTTAAAACCACCGAAGTACGATTCTCGGTATAAAAACGGACGAGAGAAAAAAAAAATAGAAAACCGAATTAGAAATTGAAAACTAACGACCGGTGGCGACACCACGTTTAACAGCCCATAGCGCTATGGCAATAATCACAGGATAAACAAAAAAAATCCAGTATTTCTTTATTTTGTAATGTATACTATATGTATACCAGGTTAGGTACCATATCATACAAACGAGTGTCAGATCGACGGGTAAACAGTGTACTATAAAATCCTTGACGGTCTCTGCCGAATTTGCCGTAGACCGTGTATGCACACCGTTAGAAGTCAAACCAACTTTGATCGCGACAATAATTATTATGATATTATTTCCCTAAGCACTTTCCCCAGACTAGGGGATTAGGGAGTTGGTTGGCTTACCGCACAGCTTAGACGGATACCAAATCTCTTAAACCCGTCTTCGGGCTCTGTCTCGTCTTAGCGAGAGTGCAGTGTAGTGTACAGTGTATAGCTATAGTTATAGCTGTGAGTAATGTGCTGCTGAACGATGGATGCACAAAAATCATATAACATAAACGCCACCCGATATACTCTACTTAAGCTAAAATAACTACCCCTCGCCCTGGCCGACCGTCGGATGCATCCAACATTTTATGGAACACACACACAGACAAACAATAGCTATTAAATTTTAATAAGTCAACGCGAAACGCAAACACAGCTGCGACGAAGATTATAAAGGTAATCTATCTATATATATATGTATACATATAGAATATATATATATATAGGTTTGGTCGGCTAATAGCGGCCACTTTACATTTTGAATGGGTTGATCGTGTATATACGTTTCCCGATTGGGTTTAGGATTTTGACGAACTTGTTGATCAAACGTGGCTAATAATTTAAAATGGGGGGGGGGGTGGCAAATTAGGGTCGAGCGAGAGAACGATGTACTGCAATTTTGACCGTCTAAAATTATACCGCAGTGTGGGTGGAAAATGGTTATTTTACACAACCAACGCACGGTATATAAGAACTACATTATTATATGTACTGTAATTATTATTATCAGGTGTATATCCCAATTGCCACACGGGTCGTTGTGCAGTAGCAATGTTGAAACAGCATAAAATATATTTATATTTAATATGATATAAATATAAATAAATATATAATAATGTATATTTATATTTAATATATATTAATATGAGAAATGATACAAGTTGGTATATTAACTACGCATAACCGACGTAGTGATGATAGTATTATAATAAAAATATAATAGTTCTTTTTGTTATAGTAATAACAAAGAAGAGTCCATAAATACAGGATATAAAATAATAACCAAGTATTTTGATTTTTTTTTAAATAAAAAATTGTTGTTGTACCAGTAACGTTTGTTTTCGATGAAATTGCAATAAACATTTTATAATATCCGTTTTTTTAAACAATATTGACTTTTGATTCTCAAGCTACAGACGATGATGTATTCGTGGTTCATAAGAATACATTAGTGGTGGATTTACACTTTAGAAAAATGTCCACGGTGTTCTCCTTTACGATACTAAATAAATACACAGTCGCGTCCCAAAGGAATAATACAATGCACACAAGTCTAAAAAAATATTTCAAAAATAAATTTGATAGGTCTTCTGGCATTTGAGTTTAGATCGGCTGTTATGTTAATGAAAAATAAACAAAGTTGAAAGCTAGTAAATCAGATTACCCTTAAACATCCGCTGTATGTTGGCACGCATTTTTGAAATAGCTAAATATGATGTAATTTAATACATAAATCTGAGAAATATTTTATTTTATCAAAGTACCTTATTGAACGCAACAAAAAAATGTTTTTCGTTTTAACTTCAATATTTGCAAGTCATTTGTTCGACACACACCGCATTTTTTTTCAGTAGCACTTAACGCTGAACAAAAATCATAAAACATATTGTAAATTTCCCCTTTTTCTTTTCCTTCTCAGCGTCTACTAGCTACAGATGTGTGATCGATAAACGGTGGAAAGCACTATGAAAAAGTTATGACATCATTTTTTTGCTATTTTTGTTCCATAGATAGTTGTTACTATATTATGTAGCCCACTTCTGTGAGATTTAATGAAATCCCAACCGACTCATTGTTATTAAGTTTGAAAATAACGACGAAGCTTTACTTCTAGAGCCGTTGCCAAAAATTTCACATAAATACAATTAAACGATATCATTTAGATATTTGGAATAATTAAAAAAAAAAAAAAAAAAATTATCCACTGCTAATATCTGTTTGTGTTTAATTTAAAATTATAAATTTAAAAAAAATGTACATTCCTCATGGTCTTGACATTAAAACATATTTAATGAATTTTCATTGTTGCCTAGTAGCACCGGAGGTCCACATGAGCTACAAAGGAAATCATATCCGACTCCGTTTGAACTTACTTTGCGAATGTCCCCAATAAGGGAGTTCCCTCTAGGTGAGTTCCATTAACGGACTCCAGGCGATGCCAATTTATCGACTACCCATGTTACTTCCGTATACGACAAGAAACGCAAAAGGTATAATTGGCCAAAGACTGAAATGCTGGATTCAAACTCAATACTTACTACCTACGCCCTTATCTACCAGGACGCTACTACTCTTGAAGCACACCTTATTTTTTTTTAGCGAATCGTCACCGGAAGTCATTGAAGAGCGCCGTCGATGGCATGAGGGTCTGAGGCTGCAGGCTCAAGGAGGGAGGGTTAACGGAGCCAAACTGAACCTATACTTAGGAGACCCGAAAGGATTTGCCAAAGGCCCGCAAAAAATAAATATAGAATGGTCTAAAAACCCGTGGAACGACACTGTTATTGTTTTTGAAGTTTAGTGGGAGACTCCACTATATTGAATTCCTCGGGCTCGAACTAGGGTTGATGCGAATTCCAATCTACTTCGTTATTGCTTTCATTATTACATCCAATACTGAAACGGACCTAACCCCAACATTGTATTCAACCTCGTTTTTAAACGGAGTGTAACAAACATAAACGTCCTAATCTAAAAATAATGTATTTTTAGAAATCATTTCAAAAATATTGTCCATTAAAGAAACGGTTGTACATTTAGGTACAATGTTTTCCACCATTGCTTAACATCGTTTAATACTGTCGTTTATTGTTCTGTTTATATATGTATATATACCAGTTCACTACAATCCGTTTGAGCGAATTTTCGTATTTCATAGTAGGTATAACGGAAATAACAACAATTGAATATTTTATTTCAATTTCTTTCATTACGAGAGCAGCGTCTGTTTTTGAATAGAGTAAAACGTTGAAAATATAAAATTTACTAAGAAAAGAAAACGAGGAAATAATATATTTGTCAGTAAAAAAAAAAACCAACATT